CCAGAACCAGCCATCTCCGTCACTCCAGCATCAGCCACTATGGACCTACCAAAGGTGGAACTATCATACTTTGATGGTAATCCGTGTCATTACTGGAGGTTCACCCGCCAATTTGAGTTATATATTGAGAGCAAGGTGCAGGACGCCGGTCAGAGGCTCCTTTATCTGATCCACTACTGTCAAGGCGACGCGAAAGCGGCCATTGAAGAATGTGTGATGCTTCCGCCGGAAGTAGCATACTCCAGGGCACGGGAGATTTTACGCAATCTCTTTGGCCAGCCTCATATTATCGCTCGCTGTCTACTAGAAAGCCTGTTTCGTTTTGCACGACAGACCACTGGAGCAGCCAAGTCCTTGTCGGACTTGTGTATAAAAATGCGCAGTTGCGAAATTGCGCTGACGCAAATGTGTTACGTCTCAGACTTGCACTCACTAGCGGTTGTAGAGAGAATTGTGCGTTCTCTTCCTTCGCCATTGCAGCACAAATGGGCTGAGGTGGCAGATAAGATATCTGTGAGTGGCCGGGATCCAACGTTCACAGACTTGACGGAGTTTGTGAACACGCGCTCTCGTGTTGCAAGGAGTCGGTTCGGGCAACTGGCTCGAGATGGGGACGTAAGACGCCCCCCTGTAACACCGACTTCTACCAACCAAGCCCCTAAACGGGACGGTTATGCCAATTTCCTAGCCAACATCAGACAAGACGCAGACGGTCGTCCAAGTGCTTGCGCATTATGTTTACAGCCCCACTCAATTTCTAGTTGCCAGCAGTTTTTGTCTATGAAAGTTCCTGACAGGTGGAAATGCATACGAGAACATAATGCCTGCTTTGCCTGTTTAGGGGACTCCCACATGGCCAAGGATTGCAAGCTAGTAGTTCGATGTGGCCAACCGGGTTGCAGGGGACGACACCATAGTTTGTTACATACATCACAACCCAGAAACAAAGGTTCGACGTCCTCAGAGCCGGAGGTTTTGTGTGCCTTAACTCAAGGTAGTCGACTTCCGGCACGCTTAGGAGTTATTCCTATCAAGCTGGACAGTCCTGCAGGAAAGGTGACAACGTATGCATTTTTAGATGCTGGGTCCGACATAACGCTGGTAAGGCGGGACCTTTTGGTGAAAAATGGGGTCAGGCTGCTACCCACGTCTATGGTTATTGATACCCTGGGTGGTTCCATGGGATGCACATCGGAAGCTAATGGTATCAGGCTTTTATCAATGGATGAAAGCCAGTCGATAGATGTTGACAAGGCATTCGTTGTTGACAGCTTACCTATGCGAGCTGTCCCATCCATCAAAGAAGCGGCTCGCAAGTGGCCTCACCTTAGGGAAGTTATCTTCGACGAACTGGCTGAAGACGATGTAGGACTCCTTATAGGTTGTGATGTATCCGAAGCGCACTGGGTCTTCGACCAGCGCCTGGGAGCCAAAAAACAGCCGTTTGCGGTGAAAACTTTACTAGGGTGGATGCTCCTTGGCCCGATGAGAAACGGAACGAAGCAGAAAGTCGTCAGTCATTGTATAACCGGGTGTAGTCAGGGCATCCAGGAGCATTTGCAGCGACTGTACAACTCGGAATTCGCAGACACTTCAGCATCGAACACTAGTCTCTCTTTAGAGGATCAAAGAGCACTGTTGATAGCGGAGACTAGTGCAGTGCGAGTAAGTGGGCATTATCAGCTACCGCTCCCATGGAAAGATAACGCACTTACCCTACCCGATAACTTCCAGGTGGCTAGAAAACGTCTAGGTAATCTGAAAACTAGACTGTGCAAGGATCGTGTTTTACACGGAAAGTACGATAAGGTGCTTCGCGCATACATGGAGAAAGGATACATTGAACGGGTGGCGGATGCCTCCACATTGTCATTAAATTCAAAGCAGTGGTATCTCCCACATCATCAGGTTATTAACCCAAAAAAGCCAGAAAAGATTCGGATCGTATCTGACTGCGCTGCCAAATGTCATGGTGTGTCCCTAAACGACCACCTGTATCAGGGCCCCGATTTAACCACAAAACTTGTAAATGTTATGGTGGGCTTTCGTTTAGAGCAAGTTGCTGTGGCAGCCGACATTAAAGGGATGTTGCTACAGGTCAAGGTTGACCCCTGTGATAGAGACGCTCTGAAGAGCCTTGTAGCACAGGCTAACCGACGGGAGGGAAATGATGTCATGTGCCCATTAATGTCTTGGTCCTCCTGTTGGATGAAGCTACCGAAGGTCGTGGCTTGGTTACTGCATTACGGGCAACGTCTATTGATTAAGAAGGGCAGAGCGAGAAAGGAGGCTTTACCTTCTGGTGTTATCAGAGTATCCGAACTCCGCCAAGCACGTAATTGTTTGATAAAGATGGTGCAATCTGCTCACTTTGCACGAGAGCTGCATCAGATTAACGCTCCTGTACTGGATGCAAAGCGTTCCCGCAATCGGACTCAAAACGGCAGCTTACAAAAATTGTCACCTGTTTTGGTTGATGGCATTTTGTGCGTGGGGGGCAGACTTAGTTACTCGAACTACAGTCAGTCAGTAAAGCATCCAGCTCTTCTTCCAAACCGACATCCTATTACCGCCTTAATCATACGTCATTTTCATGAAGTGGAAGGGCACTGTGGAGTAGCGCATGTCTTGGCCTCTATTCGACAGAGATATTGGATTATCAGAGGGACCGGTGCCGTTAAACGTGTGATTGGTGCATGCTCTTTATGCAGACGCCGGTCCGCACAGCTCAGTAAACAAATGATGGCTCCATTACCACCAGACAGAGTAGAAGGGGGTTGGTGCCCCTTCGAGTGTGTGGGAGTGGACTACTTCGGACCTTTTAAAACCAAACGCGGCCGTTCACAGGAAAAACGCTACGGCTGTATCTTTAGCTGTCTGAAAACTAGAGCAGTCCATTTGGAGATGGCTGGCAACCTGTCGACAGATTCATTCCTACAATGTTTGATGCGCTTCGTTGGTAGACGTGGTAAGCCCACCGATATATACAGTGATAATGGTACGAACTTTGTTGGCGCACTGAGGGAATTTCGGGATGATATAAAGCTCTGGAGCCTGAGCAAAATATCAGACCGACTTTTGACTATGGATATACAGTGGCACTTCAATCCACCAGCAGCTAGCCATCGTGGCGGTGTGTGGGAGCGTATAATCAGGTCGGTACGACGTATACTTTTATGTATATGTAGGGAACAGTGTTTGACCGATGAACAACTGAACACGCTTCTCATACAGGCCGAACGGATTCTCAATAACAGGCCTATAGTCCCGCTATCATCAGACAGCAACGATTTGGAGCCGCTTACTCCAAACAGTTTGTTGCTGATGCAGTGCTGTCCTGCGGTACCCGGTCGCGACGGCTTGGCTTCGCGATACCATGCCGGTTGGAAACAGGTCAATTATCTTGCTGGCGTATTCTGGCGTCGTTGGATAAGGGAATATCTGCCAACGTTGCAGATGCGTACCAAGTGGCTCAGAGCAACTCAAGAATTGAAACGAGGGGACTTAGTTCTGGTTTCTGGTGAGGACCTGCCTCGTGAGAAATGGCCTCTAGGGGTAGTAGATAGTTGTGAGGCGAGCCCTGATGGCTTAGTAAGAACCCTGCATGTTAGAACGGCGGGCGGCGTTCTTAAGAGAGATATTAGAAAGGTGTGTTTACTGGAGGGACGCGAATAGGCTTGTACACCATCGAAGTCGGCACTTGTGGCAGGAGTGGACTCGGACCATTCGTGTCGGTGGCTGATGGGGTACCGTAGATTGGAGCTGAGCGTAGGTAGTAGGCAAGAACCGGGGCGCCCGCTGTATCAACGTGGAGAATTTGGCGGGCGGTGTATCATCCGTTATGTTGACAATGAAATTCCCCACGTTTATTATGCCCCCATTTGTAACCCCCGCCCCATTTTTGTGTTTAGTGTGTATATATGAACTGACGTTTGTTTGTCCTTACCACTTCACCCATTTGGCCTTGAGGTCATCCAGCCATTTGTATCTGACTTGCACGTGTGATCACTCGAAGATACCGTTCGACCTTTACACCACTCTTTCGTGGTAAACATACTAGTATTTTTGGAGCATCTAACCCGAGCTAAGAACGAAAGATTCACATCGGATGCAATAGTTTTCGACATTTTAAAGCATTCGAACTGGTCACCCAAACTAGGCTCCTCTGCAATCTCTAGACTAGCGGGATTTGGGGGAAAATCCCAGTTGTGATGGGGCTTCCTTATCACACAGAACATTATAAGTGAAGTAGACTTAGTCACCTCTTGGAACTGGTCGCTACTGAAATCCGTCACTTTTCTGTTCTTGGAAAACTTGTGTTTCTACGTCGGAAACCTTCCAGATGCGCTTTCAAGTCTATGGCTATTTTTCCGGACGATTCAAAAGCCTAGTGCTGGAAGCCCAGCAACCTCCAGGCTGATGTAGAGTCTAGACGGTTGTTTCTCAGTTGTTACCCGCCTCTTAATGGTAAAAAGCGTGTCCATATGCCATTCAGATGGGGCTAAGCCAATTCCTCTGTCGTTCATAGTGAGCATGGCCCACTCGCTACTTCATGAAAAATCGTTTCAGTTGGAAGGCATCGTTTTACGGATGAATTGGTGCACCTGTTACTATGTTGCTCGCATGGAATTTCGTTTACTTTGTGAAGCCTTTATCAGGCCGCTTCTTGAGTATGCCAACCAAGCTGTGTATTCAGGACGCAAGAAAGACGTAATCCTCATTGGGCTTGTCCAGCAAGTTGTTAGGAAAATGTTTGCTGTCCGTAAATCCGTGGACTACGAAATGCACCTCGTTGTTCTTGGCCTCTTCTCGCTGGAATATCGTGGCCTTCGGGGAGACCTAATACTTAGTTATGTCCTGTTTGAACAAGGTTTGGCCGACATGCCTTTCACGGTTGACCCAACTAATAAATGACGGAAACATTGTAAGGAGATTTCTCGGACACCATCATAAAATTTTGACGGGTAGTTACTTTACTAATTAAGGGTAGTTTGCGTGGAATGGCCTTCCAAAAAACGGTTGTCTGCGCTGCATCTGGTCCCTAGTTCTAAGCCATTTCAAACGCTTTGTGTGTAATTTTCTGCGCTGGGAAGCTTAAGCCCCGTGCCTAGAGCTTTAGGAGCTGCGCAACTCACTTTTTTGCCTGTGCACTCTATGCAAACGAGAGCTACTGGACGGAAAGAAAAAACCCTGTACCGGTTGCCCGGGCAAAAGCTTCAATCCGATGGATCGAACTGTGGATCCATGAAAAAATTCGTTGGAGTGGTTGGGGTGTCAGCTTTTTTTCGGTGTGTCTGACCAGCACAATTTAAGGACCCTCCACATCTGCCGAGGGAGCCAGCCCAGATTATCCACGCTGTTCTTAATGTGGTGGTAACCACCACATCGTCTCGCAGGAATCCACGTGTAGATTTATCCATTCGCTCATTGCATTGTCAAATATGGCACATGACTCAGGGTCCGGGTGCCTGAATTTCCTGTCAGCTATCTATTTGTCTACACCATATTTCCTCTATTTCCTCTATTTTTCTTCCTTTTCCATGGGACAAATCTCTGTCATGACAAGTTTAGAGCTTCATAACTTCTGTCGCCTACCACTGTAGCCTAAGTGACCGATTCTTTCCGGCCCATGGCAATGTGTGTGATGCATGTCATGCATTTCGAAATTTTTCAGCAGATTGTGACAGTTTTCTATGTTTTCTCTATCTGCCCTTCATTCAGAAGTTCGATGATGTGTCCTTAAGTGCCACCATATTTCCGTTTCTCTCATCCTATACTCGTTCTGTTTTTTAATTTTCCACATTCGTTTACTTTTGGGCCTTACCACTTTTCGCCCCATATGGTTTCACAAACTTTATCTCCAGTCATGAAAGTCCCGTTCTTCTCCGGCAATCCTGTAAGTTTATCCCACCGAATTCATACATTGAATGATTAAGGACAATTCATCATTTTCGCAGTACACAACCTCCTTTTTCCCCACCTCTATGCAAAACTTATATAGATCCTACATACTCAGGCCATTTCCTCGTCGACCACACACGTTGTTAACATACCTGGTGTGAATCTTGAAACCTCTTTGCGCATCCAAAATCCACTTCACATTCTCTTCAGCCATCCGAATACAAACGCCACTAGTTCTATATAAATATGCCAAAATGATACTTTAGAGTGGCTACTAGATCCCGGTGCATGCGGAGAATATCCGAAGAATGGAAGCGGTGGACGGTAGCTAAATGCGAGACACTCAGTTCAGATTCCTTTATGGATACCCGGCGATACAAACTGTTGACTTTATACTTAAATCTCACGGTGCCACCATCTCCATGGTCAGAAAATCGAAGTTCCGTGGCCTCTGTACAGGCCGATACAATTTGCTTTGTTGGCCCCCAGGCATCCGCATTGCGTAAGTTGAATGTCCTGTGGCTCAAATACGAATCCGATGGTGCACTGTAAGTCACTATTTGGGGATTTAACGGCACTCCTCCAAATGGCAGTATAAAGAAAGGCTTGATGCTCTGCAAAACTGGATAAATTACTTATTTTGTGAAGTTCAGCGCTGCAAACCACCCCTTAACAAGTGTTTTACATCTCGCAGTGTAAACCACGCCTGTATCCTGCGTTGTATACCTGCTATCGTCTCGATTGGTTATTGTCTGCCGGTGGAAACGTGTTTTTATAAAACTCTATTAGCAGCTCCGTACTTCTCAAAGGATACGTATAACAAGCCAGCCTTTTGTATGATAGGCAACTAAAGGTGCAAACCCAAATGGGGCTTGCCTCTGCGAGTAAACCCTGCAAAAATGGTACCTCCTAATGTTTATTCAGATGTTTTACCATTTATCGTCGTTGTTCGGACAGTTCATGTTCCGGAAATCCCATGCTCACAGACTGGAATTCCAAAGTTGGAAGGAGGGTATTCTTTGATAAATGTCGTCAGCCAGATAGATCACAGACATTCGGTTACAGGAGGGAACCGTGGTGACGCATTGAACAGTTAAATCACCACGTTCTTAGATATTCAGATGGTGTCACCCCCAACTCTAAATTTCTGTTTAAGTTAGTAGGCATTTATCAGCACACGGACTGGTTGCAGCAACTTTCTGAAGGATACGTCTACGTCATATCAGCCGGAGAAATATATCCGGGCACAAAACGCATCGCCTGAAATCCGTGGGCACAAAGTGTTCAAAAACCCTAAATCAACCTGAACCATGTTTGCTATGAGAGCTCCCGATGGCTCAGTGGTTAAGGACAAGGACCTAAAATTCCGTGGTTGGAACCCCGTGGCAGCTGTTTGAATGTATCAGGAATGTGCGTGCGTGCATGCATGTCCGTTCGTCAATTCTCTAACGAATTGCCGCGAAACTGGTGTCTGATTGTGTTTGCCGGACGAATCGTACTTATCCAAGTCTATCCGCCAGCACATCGGAAGAATGTTTGTGTGATGCCTGAAAACGGGTCCGTTCGTATGTTGACCCAATAAAAGGTGGACCTGTTTGGCCACATGTTCACAATCCATCCTCATTTTGCACGTATTTTCCTTAGTTGCATTGAATTTGCAATAAAGCCGGCCTCCGTGTCTCGGAGGCTCCCATCTGGGCTGACGCAACCTGGCATTGTCCCTTTCTTCGTGCATCCTTCAGGTGGAATGGTAACTGCGGAGCAAATTAGTGCTACTGCTGCCACAGTTGGCTATTCACAAATGGCCTCATTTTGTTGTTGTGGCCTGATTACCATACCGGAACCCCTGTTTCTTTTTCACACATTCAAGAAGGTGCTGAAGTTGCATTTGGCAATTACGCACTCAATAAGACGTAAACATCATTCGTAAAATGCCCCTCAGGCTGACAAAATAAACATCTTTTCATATTTGCAATGTCCTCTGAGACTAAGTTGAGTGACTAACATAGCCTTAGCAACCGGTGAATCGTGTGAAGTCCTTGTATACACTGATAGCGCATCGCACAGACAATATGGGTAACCAATTTTCCGGTGTACCCATTCGCAGTTTCTTACTGTAAGAAAGTCTTGCAGCTCTAGCTTCAGCTGTCCGTTACAATTTATACCATTTTGCATAACTGTGCTGATGTAATTCCCTCCCTTCAGTTTTGTATGGTTCCAGGGATGCTTTTGATTAGCCAGTTAAGCTTTGAGTGAGACTGTTTGGTTACCGTTGTGCCGTTGGTTGCCGTTGTCTTTTGATTGGAAGGGCTTATTTGCTCCTGCAAGATGACAGTACTCGCAGCTTTTGAGGTTGACAGATAATGCTGTTTTAAGTGTTCTGATGAAGACTTCTTTAATTGTTTGCTAACAGATAATTGGTATGTGTGCAATCTTTGTTAAGGCCCATGCTCTATCCTGTTGGTCAACCTTGAATGCGGTGATCATGTCAATTTTGTTTAAGCCTTTTTGGAAGAAGCTTTTGGTGTTCGTATTTTGCAAGTCATCACTTTTTTCTAAATTGTGTGCTGCAGCGTCTTTCTGCCATCAACGTGTGAGTTCGGTCGTCGGGTTTACCATAGTATATCGACACAAGCCTACACCACACATTGTTGATTCCTTTCTTCTACTTTTATATTGTTCGGTCGTCGGGTTTACCATAGTATATCGACACAAGCCTACACCACACATTGTTGATTCCTTTCTTCTACCTTTTATATTGTACAACGCGATTCCCCCTTTTTTGTTATTTTGGTCTGTGCCTATACCACCCTTGTTGGTTTTGACCTGAACATAAACCGTTCTTTGACCTTGTCATCGGACGTGTCGTTTAAGTTCACACGTGGTTTCGCTAGCTTGTAAACACGTGGCTCCGAGTCGGCGTGGACTTTGAGACCAGTGAGGAATTAGCAGTTCCTTAACCGGTGTATAGAAGCCGGCATGGTCCCACGATTTGAGGTTTGTAAAGCTTTACAATTTTATTATTGTACTTATGGTACCGCATTTGTAGATAAACCTCCATTTGAAAGAATTGGCTTCCGGGGTTTTGCGCGTAACTCGACGTGGTTCAACAGATTGCTGGAATCAATCTATGCACATAAGGTGTGATAAACAATACCGCTCAATCTAGAACCCCTCACACGAGGGATGTGAACGCGTCACATTTAGAAATTGACTGTTTGGTTCACTAGTTTCTCCTCAGCGGCAAGGTGCAAACGCGCTCATTGCGTCCAAATCGACCACTACCAATAAATCAGTGGGTATAGTTCTCGATTTGCAAAAGGCGCTCAAAACTGTCAATAAATATGACCCATTATTGGATAATCACCTGGACGTACCGCTGAGTCTAATACCACTAACCTGAGCGTTCAGGTTTCAATTAAGACAGCTAAAGTGATGAGCTGATAATGGAAAATTATTTCTGGCAAACCAGGGTACAACTGGATGTTGCAAAGATGCGAACCATAGATAAAGGTCGGGGACTGATTACAACAGTGCCAGTATTTATGAAAGTAAGTAGTCAGACGGACCATTTTCGAATGTGTTAATAACCGATCATGTGAAAAAGATACTGCTTGCAAGCTGAGAATAATACGGGCAACTGTGCTCCTCTTCAGTGGCTTCGATATTGCCAAAATTTTACAATTGGTAATATATAATGATAATACGCCTGTATCTTATAGTCAGAGATCATAAAAGCAGCGGGTTTGACACGCTTACTATCGAACATCCGCGCAAGAACAACACATTGGCCAGTGTACTGCAAAGAGCGGATGAAGTGTTCAATTAGCGTGTGATGTTTAACATAAAGCAGAGTCGTTCCCTTTCTTGCGGGTTGGCCGATGTGTCTGCAGAATAAAACAGCGTAAGCATGGGTAAAAAGTAAGGATAGAAAAGTTAATGTTGGGGATAAATGAAGATAGTAATCAACACCAGGTAATTTTTCTATCCGTCTACCATGTTATATGCTGGAATAAAATTGATATTTCCAATGGCACTAAGCGGCAGCTGGTGAAGCAGTTGCGAATGATTCATAGAGGATTACACGGACGTTCGTGTAAAGAAAGACAAGCTGACAATCGAAATTTTCAGCCGAAGTATCCCAACTAAAGGTCTAAGAGCAAGGCCTTGGTGGTGTGTATGGGGCTGGAAGAGTTGCCTAATGTTTGGGGGATGAGAAGGCACATCCTTTCAAACCTCAAAATTGGAGGGGCATGTGTCGGTGTTCTTCAAGCTCACACACATTGAAAGACGCGATGAAAGAACCCTATACATTCATCAATGACGCAATATACTGCGGCCTCCTAAGTTGAAATACTTGAGCTCCTTTACAGTCTATTTTTGACGGACTACTGCATCATGACGTATCAGCATCATTGTATGTGCACTAAAATTTCAGGTGCACTCACACTTCATTCAAAGGCAGAGGCAGCAAACTTAGGTAAAATTAGGTAATTATTTGTAGTGCACCGAGGGCGACAATGTTTGATGTTCTTTGTGCTGGCGCCCACAGGAAAATATTTCACCTGTGATAGGGCAGGGTGTTACGGCTATCTCCTTTCTGAGTTTGAGTCACGCGTGCCAATCCAGGAAAACGACCAAGAAATCCGAATTCTGGAATCACGGTACTATTGCAAATATAATAATATACATATTCAACAAACCTTAACGGATACCCCTCTGCAGATACCGTAGGGTTGCAAAAATAAGGCGGTACAATTATCAGCCTGAGGACAAAGCGCAGATCACTCCGCCTCAAAATTGATATCGTCACAACCAAACGGATATCGACGGCGAGCAACCGCAAAAATCACAATGTCCGACCAAAGTCCGTAAGAGTTAGAAAAATAGTTCAGTAAAACAAGGAGGTTTCAGTTCATCTGGTCAAGGGGAATAAATATGGGGAATGGCTGTCCTTTGGGGTTGGAAACGGTAGCACACTGTTGGCAAGCTGTCTTCCACACAGGGTAACTCGCGTTATAGAGCAATCACCTAAATACTGTTACGTCCTTCTGCATATTTGCCACACAAATTCCGTAATAAATTAGGCAGCAGTCTTGATAATTCCACAAATATTACTTGCATACTAAATGATATTAAGTAGCGAGTTCACTGTTTGACAGCCGGTGCATTCAGCTTACCGCGATTAGCCATAAGTTGAACCGAATGAAACGTTTTCGGCTGGAAAAAGGTGACCAGTGTACACTTTGGCTTCTACAAACACATTATGGGACTTTTTATCTTGATTAAGACTCATCGCAGCAAGTTGTGCGGAGGTCAAGCATTATTTTTGTTAGTGTGCTGCATAGCAAAAAAGTTTCTGAATGTTCAGTTGGCGGTTTTTTTAATCTGGAGCTGTTTACTGTTTCTAAAATTCTATAAGTTGTTTTCGACTAAAAATGCAGCAGGATTCACAATATTCACTTAGCCGGCAGTTATCCCCTAAGTACATGCACGAAACAGAAACATCCAGAGCACCGCCGGTTCTTTTCGGTTTATGACGTATTTTGAAAATGTTTCAATTATGGGCCTTCAAAAGGGCACAATGATTTCGGATAGAATCACTGCTTTTAAGCACTGATTGCCGTGGAAACCCAAATTTTACAGTTCATCTCTCTTTTATTTCGTCTCTTTCGTGATCAGTCGGCGATGTGCACGTGTAAATGAATTTTTTTCTCAGAAACAAAGGCATCTTCGAGATTCACAATCAGGGAGCATACATGCATAAATCTAATGTGCATTTCTGCAGCTCGTCGATTGAACTCGTTTGTTTAGGTAAGCAGTTACTCAAAAAAACAAGTTCTCGAGTAAGGCAACTGTGGTTAGCGAAATACAAATTATCGACTTATGGTAAAACGAGACTTCCGATACTAAGACACGCCCAGAATTTCTGACACCGTATTTTAAAATGGGAGAAACACGAGACAGTCCTCTGCAGAACATTCAGTTGCATAAAAATTTCAGAACGACGGATGTAGCTGGGTCCAAGATGAATTTTCCGTCAAAATTAACTTGGTATGCAAATGAGTGTATTTCGAGAAATTAAATTTCGTTCGCCTCTGATAACTGGCAATGTGACTGGCTTAAAACAGACAGATGTTGAAGGCATTTCTGCAACCAGAATAACTTTTTTAAATTGATGTAGTCCACAAAACAGCCATTAGAGCACACTATGTACAGAGTGTACTTTTGCTTAAAAATCTGTGTCCGAATTTCTTTTCCCCAATTAGGCGAATGCAGAAGCACGCGCAGTTTTCCCTTAAGGAAGTTTGAGCATGAGAAGAATCAGAGGCGGAAAGATCACTAATAACTACTAATTTATTCAACAGTACACAAATGTGATAGTTTGAGAATATAAATTTTCCCCCGGGATTCTGGATTATTGTTAGAAGGCCAAAATATTTGCATCAGTTGAATTCGACCACTTCGTCAACCAAACACCAGGAAGAAGCTTCTCACCACCACCCACTATAATGGACATTGGATAAAAAGATCGTAAATCTTGGTGAGATTCCCCATAGTTCACCACAAGCATACTTTAGGTTGCAGCTATCTACAGTTGAATTCGACCACTTCGTCAACCAAACACCAGGAAGAAGCTTCTCACCACCACCCACTATAATGGACATTGGATAAAAAGATCGTAAATCTTGGTGAGATTCCCCATAGTTCACCACAAGCATACTTTAGGTTGTTTCCAGCTATCTACTGGACCACGTCGAGTTAGGCGAAAAAACACCAAGGGCAAAATCGTTCAAGAGGTCTGCCTACAAATGCGGTGCCATAAATACAATAATAAAATAATAAGACTTTACAAACTTCTGGTTCAGAGAATGTGAGGGCCACTTTACACCGGTTTGGGAACTGCTAATTCCTAACGTATCTCAAAGTCACACCGACTCAAAGGTTTGCAAGATAGGAAAACCACGCGTGAAATTAAACAACACGTCCGATGACAAGGTCAAAGAACTGCTTATGTTCAGGTCAAAAACGAGAAGGGTGGTATGCGCGAAAACCAAAATGACAAAAAGAGGGAATCACTTGGTGCAAAATAAAAATAGAAGAAAGGAATCAACAGTGGTAGAAGGATTTCCAAGATCAGAACGCATACATTCATTGGGAAGATTTTTACCCATTGCGGGCATTTGGCGCGTGTCATAACCTTCCTACGACGGTAGTCCACGTTTCACCTAGAACTCAGTTCAAAGCACTATTTAACGCGGTTTTATGCGAGTCCTTGCGCTGGCAAGCTTGCTTCCCCTTGTTCATAAGTTGAAGCACAACGCTACACCCTTTTCTAGCTTGTGTTTTCAGGTCAACGGCAGCCATTGAACGACAAGAGTGAAACCGATCCAGGGATCTTGAGCGAAAGCCTCGACCCTGTGTATTAACCCGCGAATCCCTAAGACCTTAGATGCTTTGATTGGTTAGAAGGCGGACCAATCAGACTCGGGCATCTTCGTGTCGGTTCTTCTCTGCCCAGCACGTAGATCCCGAATTGGCCTTGTTGGGTATTTTGTGGTTCCTCTTACGGCTCGAATAAATGGAATATCAAGTTATCACGTAGCCTGGCGTGCTGCACTTGGGATAACAACAAGCGAAGCACCAGCACAGGAGTTGCAGTCCACAACAGGCTAAAAGGCTTCAACTGATAAATTAAATCCGCAGCTCAGGGTGAGGTGGTTGAGTACAAGATGTAGGAATGAAAATCGATGACCGACCAAACTGTGCTGGAATTCTTCGCCTATCCAGCGATTCTGGTGCTTGCTTTTATCTACCGGGCTTTCAATATTGTTTTTGATTAAGCTAATGGATTAGCTTGCTAAGAGACGTGGTGTGGCGAATCATATTTCAGTTTATCTGAAACAACTCAACTGCATTACCGTCTGATCTAGCCTTTGTTCTTTAGACTTGGGGGTCCCACAACGTCTTCCTGCAAACTCCGTTTGCGTTCATGTCTGACACACCGTCTTACTGCAGTCCCAAACGGTCACGACACATTGTCTGGAGATGACTGTTCTGAGATCCAGTGGAAAGTATATGCCCGCTTGGTGCCACGCTTGCAGCGTCAAATATGGTGGCCATTTCATCCCAGTCACGATTAGTACCCTGTGAAGAGGCTTTTTCCATCACTTAGAAGGTTTTGGTAAATGTGCCCAGTTCGGGGCTCCGTGCCCTAGGTGTGCTCTTCGTTAGCCAAAGAGCCCAGAAACATTCCCATCCCGTGTCCTGTTGTAACAACCGTTGCTATTGTGTAGGTTAACTAAAACATGGCTCTATACGCTCAAATGAACGCGGAACGTCTTGGTTTCTATTCTTTTCGCGGTATTCCTTGCTGGAAGCAAGACTGGGTTAACATCTCGCGATTTCACCGTCGATGACCAAGCATAGGTAGCTGCGATCCGGGATAGCAGCAGAGCCTCAAAAAATAGTTTCCACCTTGACGTTGGGGATAGGCTGGAGTGTCCTAACGATCGTGCGGGTTAATTGGCTGAAACTTCTTTCCTCAGAGTTCAACCACCCCAGGAAGGCCAAATGAAAGCGAAAAAGCAAAGACCAACAGGTTTTCGTACTGTGGCTAGTCTCGTTACTAGGTGGTGTGGGTGAGGAGATGAAGCATATTGTCTTCTACAATGGGACTGCGACGGGAGTAAGGTCCTTCTTCCAAGTAACTAACATGTCCATATTTATGGAAGCAAAAACACTGATTTCCCGGAGGGAGGTCGAGTTAAAGAAGGCCCGCCTTAAAAGTCGCACACTCTTCAACGTTTAGCCGCGGCCATTTTTCGATATAATCGGATTGCTTCTGAAATCATACATTGAAGTTGATAGCTTTGGTGCAGGCCCGCTATTAGTTGCGTGTGACAGTCATCTGTTAGGGCCACTAACCATTGGGTCCATATCCGGGGAGACGATAGTTACCAACGGGACTGAGATAACTGGTATAGACTAATGCTTCGTCGACGAGTCATAGACTGACCTTTGGCAAGTCTCCATCTGATACCAGGATGAGCGAAGCGGGCCCTACTAACCAAACGGTGTGGTGATATACGAAGTGTATAGCCTAACCAGCGCAACCTGTGAAGTATGACCATCTTATCCTCCAAATGGTTCTGAACTTCCCTGAAAACCATCTGGCACATCTCAGCATTAATGATGTGACGTTCCCACCAGACCCGTTCAATGCTTCGAAGACGCCAATGGTCAAACTCAGATAGGCTTCGAAGGTCTTCCACCTGCAATGGCCACGTTCATGATCCGTAAATTAGGATAAATCCGACCGCTACCCATAAAAATAACATCTAGCCACGCACCGCTAACACCAAGGAATGTGTTCAACACAGCAGATAGGTCAACAAGCCTACCTTTCTCATACCTTCTCTCTAAAGATGATGTGTGTCTCCACAGTGCGCGTACAATGCCTCACTGCCGTAATGCATCTAAAGATGGTCCAGGACAACTTATTCTATTAACTCTCCGGATGACAGGTGATCCAGAACTGGGTCCCCATAGTCTCAATTATGTGGGTATTGAGTGTGGGATCGGAGGACGCTCTACTGGATTCAAATGAACAGTGGACTGTGTACAGTCAGACTGGTCGGATATGTCAGAATCCGCAACCAGTGACGCCAAACCCGAAATTTATTTGTTACCCCTGCATATGACTCAATAAAATACAGCAGTGATACTGCAAAAAATGCCTTTTGTGAGGAGCCTCCCGAACTTCTGTGGCTGGTCAAGTGCAGGTATGTCACTATTCTGACTGTCGATTCAAATGCTAGGTTGAGAGGAATCTGAGTGAGTGCACTCTTTGTGGAAGATTTCGGTGTGGGTTCTCCCGGATCACTTCCTGACTGCAATCTGTTTGTTTTAGCGCAAACTTTCAGCACTAACGTGAACACCGCGTTACCTGCCGCCCTCAAGCCCTAGATAGTGGACTACCCAGATTCACCACACATCGGTTAGCTATAGACGAGAATCTTGTGCTCGATGCTGTTTCTTTTCTTGAAACATATGTACTGAGTCAGACCAAGTCTTGGTTCGTGCGCATGATGCAGCTTTTTTCCCGGCGGCCAGAAAGGTCACTCATCGCAATGCTATACACCAAGTGCAAGATTTGATCGTCAAGAAAGGCTGTTAACAGCAGCTGTCTAGACAACTTGTGAACATTAAGTATACTGGCTATCAAAATGGAAAGTCGTTTAATTGTGTGTATCCGAAAACGGGGCCGCGTCCCCATCCACGTCCATGATTGAGGCGTGATGGGTGGTCCCATCGATACGACAATACGATTCAGTGAGATTACTGGAATGACACCTGAGCCGGGAGAAGTAGTGGCCATGGAAAATCCAAGAACTCAAAAAGTCGGCGGCAATTGGAATAGTCTTTCTTTTCCGACCAATTCGCAACACTGAGTCGGGAAAGCTGCTGGTCAGTCAATATAGATAAGGGTAGCTCAAAAGTGCTCCTCAGATTCCGACGCTTGTTTCGGTGGACGCCTATCTAAATCGCCGCACTGCCTTACAGTAAGACATATCCTGTTCGGCCCACACAAAATGTGAAGTCAAAAATGAAACCAAACCTTTAAAACAAAGCAAAGCACTCGATCATCGCTGTTTTCCACCTTCTTTGTTAAGCATGGAGAAGGAGAATTTGTTCATAGTCTGACAGACCATACTCTATAATAGCATTTGAAAAACGAAAGAAGTGTCAGAGAGATGTCAGATGTCTGGTGATACTTCTGTCTGAAAAAAAGTTAGATTTGAGTATGAGAATCATCTGAGTGTCGCCGTCGACTCCAAGTTGCTCCCAGGTGTTGTCCTGCTCAGCCTTATCAACATTCTAGATATGCATATTCGTGAAGACTACACAGGATTCACACCTGGTCTTGGATGTATTAATGATATATTTACCTGGTAACATCTCGAACAGCACCACACATAGAAGGTTAACAGCTTTCGTTCTGTTAGATCCAAAAACAGCGTTCGACGCGGTCGATCGCGCAACTTTATGGGGATGTCTGCGTACCGAATATTTTCTTCACATTTCTTTGAGTGTTTACACTCCAGCACTCTTGGGCGTATGAAAATCTGCCTTGATTACTCTCCTAATCTCACAACCAAAAGTGGTATCCGTCAGGGATGCGCCCTATAACCTTTAACTTTGTAATCGAAACATTCGCTATGTCATCTATCTCTTGCGTGGGACCTCTTCCTGGGGAGGACCTTAAGAACTTTGACCATACGGACAACATTGTGCTTCTTGGTTAGGGTTCCATAAAGCTACAAAATATGCCAAATAAACCAATAAGTTTATCATGTATTTTGTCATGTGCTGTTGCAAGACTTAACGGGTACACCACCAGAGTCAGTCGTGGCATCAGAACTACTAGAAGTTGAGAGGCTTAACTGTCTTGATAGCCGTTTCGAGTCCGATGATAGTATTGGCGATGAAGCGAATGCCAGATGCGCGAAATTCAATCCTTTCTTTTGACTTGGACATCTCTGCTTTCGATGTTAAAGACAGGATCTGCAATGCGACAGTCCTTCCAGTGTTGCTTTATAGTTGAGGAGCCTTGCTGTTGTGCACTGATGATAAGATTGCTTGTCTTTGACCATCGTTACCTTCGAACTGCTGCACATGTATCGTAAGAACATCGAATTATCATGGCTGAAGTGCGACAAATGTTTTTTGACCACAAATGAGCTGATCATTGATGGGTTGCTTCGACTGTATCAACTACGCTGACCGGGCCATGTGCTCCATATGCCGGTCGATTGCGTCGATGTGCTACGTTCGCTGACACTGGTCCCGATTGGAACATACGAAAAGATGAAGCGGAGCGCGAAAAACATAAAGGGTCTTGACTACACCGGTGCGTGTCGTCTGTGACTTTGGTGTATCAAAGACCCATCACCCCAATGGTTGGAGGTGATATCATGCAACCAGTGAATGTATTGCATGTGTTCTCTTTTTCTTACTCCTTAACGTGTTGTCCCTTTTCATTCCTATTTTTCGCTCCTTAAAACATCTGTCTTGATCTGTGTATCGATTATACACTGTCATGAGCTGCAGCAACTCGAATCAACCTAGATACGTGCATGACTCACATTTGTCAAACTGATCCTTAACTGAGCAGCCATGTAGACGGTCTATTCACGGGAGTCAGCCAACATAAGTTACAGTCGTAAGGGTTAGAAGTTCACTTAAGTGGCTCATATGTTGACTGTGCTCTCTTCCCCGTATACATGGTAGATCGGAAATCTGGAAAATTTGAGCTGTCTGACCAATTTAAGTAGTTTTGTGTGGCTGATGTGGTGGTAAAATCGATTGTTCTTATAATAACAGACGATGCATTAGTGAACAACGTGAAACAGTTGAGGGCCATGGA